AAAAAAAAAAAAAAATCCTTCTGACCAAGGAGAAATCCTGCGGGTTGCGCTGGCTGGACAGACAGACCGTCTGAGCTCCAAACTGCCGGCCCACTCCGCTTAGGGATGGCAGAGTCTCATCATCCAACTTGCACCGCGTGACCCTGGCACCCAAAGCCCCAGAAGATTAAAAGAAGCTGCCAGAAGCATTTAGTGAGAGCTCTGCCCACAGACGAGGTCTTGGAACACTGCAGCTATGCCACCCTGTCCTCAGGACCTGGGCTCGGCACGGCCCCAGTGGTGCGGGCCGTGGATACACGGGGTAGAGCCCCTCTCCCTCCCCCCAGGCCCAGAGTTGCCCCAGGGGCGTGGTTGGTGAACCACTGCCAGGCCGGAGGGCTGGTGCACGGGGGGGAGGGGGAGACCTCTGGCATCCCACAGACCTGGGTCAGCCTCCTGCCCGCTGCCAGCAGAGACCCTGAGCAAGACTCTGCCCTCTTTTTTCCAACACAATGTCTGTTCACATCCCAAAGAGCACAATTTGGGGAACTGCTCCTAGGAGCCGCACTAGCATCCCGAGGTGGCGGGGCACACCAATCTCCCCTCCTGCAGCAGCGCTGTCAGCGGTCTGATGCTCACCCTGTGGCCTCCCCGTGAGCTGCGCCCTCCCCTCCCCGTGCCCGCCGTCCCCTGGCTTCCCCTGACACAGCGCTGACTTTCCGTGTTGTAGTAGTCACTTTACATCATGCACATGCGTGCGCACACACGTGCACCCCAGGAGCCTGGGAGCTCCTCCGGGGCAGGGCCACCATGTGCCCTTCAGCTTTGACGCTTCAGCTCCTGGACCAGAGCCTAGCCCAGACCTCTGCTCAGGGATGTTTACTGAATGAATAAACAAGGGAATCACTGCCGCTTATAGCCCAGCACCCTGGAGATGGGGAAGGGGTGTCAGTTAACCACAGGTGTGTAAAGAGCACCTGTTATGTGCCAGGCGTGATTGGGCTGTGACTCTGAGCTACCAGCACCTCTCCTGCCCGGGGCCGTCTAAGAGCCAGAAACTGCCATCAGCCCCAGGAGCCGGTCTCCAAGATGCCAGCTGGGCCCTGGGCCCCAGGGGTGGGGACAGCTGTCTAGGTACTACCCACTGGCAGCCTGCCAGGACCCACTCCCTGAGCAGCCAGGAGTCCAAACACCAGAGCAGAAGGTCCCAAACCCGGTTAGGAATGTGAGCGGCCCCTGACCCAACTCAGGCCCCCCACCCCCTCGCCAACAGTGGGTTCGGGGCCCTGGAGACCAAGCCACGCCAGGAGCCAGACGTGGAGTCTGAGCCCAGATTGGAAAAGCAGGAACTGCCAAGGAGTCCCCAGGGATGTGCAGCAGCCCAGGAAAACACAGGTCTCCCTCGTCCCCAGCCACTTTTGCCTGATAGTCGAAGGGAAGGACCTCTCCCAGGGGCAGTCAAGACAGTTAGGAGTTAGTGCCCCAGACTTGCTGGTTTCAGCCTCCTCTGAAAGCTTTGCCACCTCACCTGAGCCCCTCCCTCTTCCAGGCATCTCGCCACCATTTCTCATGCCTGTTTCAGGCCCGGCACTTCATATATGTCACCTTGGTTAACCTCCCCCACTCCCCAGAAGTCTTCCCGGTGCAGGTGTGTTAGCCTTTTCAGCCGTGAAGGAACCAAGGCTCTAACAGGTGGAATGACCTGCCTTGGATCCAGAATGTGCACCCACACCCACGTCCACTGCTCTCTCACCAGACACCCTGCCCTCCACCACTGCTCCCATGGTCCCCACCAAAGACTTGGGCTCATGGCAGGCAAAGGCCATCTTCGGGTAGAGGGGAGGGGCAGTTCTTCACAGTCTACACAATTTCTCTTCCGAATAGGAAAAGCGTAGAAAGTGTCCCCATCCCCCCTAAGGTGTCCCCATCTTCCCTCTACCAATGAGCCTGAAGAGTGGGACAGTGGAGTAAAGCCCATGTGCTGTGTTCGGGCCTCTCTACCTATGAGAATGTACACCCAGTAGCCTGGGAAGGACTGGGGCAGGGGTGTGGACATGTGAAATTGACACTAGTGATTTTTTGAAAGAAGGAATGAATGAATGAAGGTCCGGGTTGATAAGTAGTCAAACAGATGGACTAATGGAATTGGAAAGGCAAAGGGCACAGCCAACCCGAGAGAGAGAGATGGGGCCAAGCCAGTGAGGCCCCCTGCTGCCTCCCCAGCCCCCACATCACCCCCTAACCTCTCATGTCGCCTTGGTCCTCAAGCGGGTTCAAGACCCTCCACCACCTGGTCCCTGCCAACCCTGCCAGCCTCTTTTCTTGAAACTCCCACCCTGACCCCAAGCCCCTTGTGCCCACTCCTCCCAGGGACACCTCCAGGCCATCCCGCAGCCTCCTCCATACGCATGATAGAAAGCCCAGCTCCCACATCACCTCCCGAGTGGAGCCTCATCCAAGAGCCCCCTGAGCCAGGTACCCCCGACACTGCCCTCTGGGCCTATCACAGCACATCAGAACTCCCCGGGAGAACCCATCCGGAGATCCGGTCGCGGCACCTCTCCATCACCGTAGCACAGGGCCAGGACTCCAGACCTGGCTCAAGCACGTACACCAGTGAAAACAATAGAACAGGCTCTGAAGCAAGTCAGGGTGGTCTCTGGGGGAACCAGCTTGGTGCGAGACCCACAGGGGGAACCTCTGGGACTGCGCTGGAGCTATCTTCTGTGTGACCTGGGCTAATGGCTAGGACCATTCTCAGGGAGGAAGAGAGGACAGATACCAAACCTGCTGGACATTGGATCTTTCCACTCCGTCGTATGTGTGTCTGTACTTTAAAACAATAAGAGAGGATCACTGATGAGTCATGATCACCAGTGAGAGAGAGTTCTTCCTGTCAGGTGAACTGGTCTTGTGGGGACCGGTGGGTGTGAGATCAGGTTTTTCTCACCCCACTGGGGACTTGCTGTGCCAGAGGGAAGGTCTTCGAAGGCAGCAACCACCTTATATTCATCCTTGACCGCCTAGGGAAGAGCCTGCACAGGATCAAAATGCCCAGAATCTATTTGCTGGCAGGTGTATGTGGTGTATGGATAGTAATTAAATATGTATGATGTGCTGGGCATGAGCCAAAGCCCTTTATGAATAATTTCATTCAACTTTGTGATAACACCATCAGGAGGGCTGTAGAATCCCCATTTTACAGCTAAGAAGTTGAGGTACAGGGAGGTATAAAAAAGACTTTCCCGAGGTCATCTGGCTGGGAAGTGGGGGATGGTGGAAAGCTGGACAGAATGGCATCCATTGGGCAGGCAGGACCTGGCCTTGTCCTGGGGCCTGTCCCCATTCATCAGCCCAACCGGTTTCATCAAAGGACGCCAGACCGGCCGAGACATTTACCAAGCAAAGATCCTTTGTGCTGGAGTGAAATGATCCTTTAAAAATGATCACCAGCTCCCCTCGTTACCTCCGGAGACCAAGTCCTTGCTGATTTTTTTCCCTTCTTTATCTCAAGTACATTTAAATGTCAATTAAATTTGAAATATCTACATTTGTCAGCATTTCATTTTGGGCCAGCGTGACGTGCTGCTGATTTGTCCACGCAATGTGACACATGAAAAAAACTCTCGAGATGCAGATCTTCCTCATTAAAAAATAAGCCCGTGCGATCCCGGCACGGCGGAGAGCCACAGAGCACGTCCCTGCTTCCTGACGCCGTGTCTCTGACATGGTATTTAAAAAGGAACAGCCGCGCCTGTCACCACTGTCACATGCGTGCGCTAACCGGCGACACGTTAAACCAAACATTAGAAAGGGTTCGGGAAGTCATCTGCATGGGAACTCCGAGCCGAGATGAGGTGGGCAGAGGCGGGAGCAGCCGTGGGAGACGATGGGGTCTGAATGGTGATGGACAGCGGGCCTTTCTTTCTCGCCAAGACTCCGGCAGCCAAGTTCACCACGACCTGCCTTTTCACAGACAGCTCTTTGTGTGTAAGAAAATCCAGGCGAGTGGTGGGTGGCAGACTGCAGGGTAGTAGCTGAATTGGGTTAATGAGGGAAGAGGTACACTTTTTTTCCCCCCTCATTTTCTGCCTTAAGCTAATAAAAAATTTAAACCTGGACATTTTCAACGATTCATCCTTTATCTCTGACAAATATCTGACTGTATGTTTCATAGGAGGACATGAGCAGTTGAATTTAAATAAGTTTATTTTGAAATCTCACTTTTTATTAAAAGTAGAAGGGGGAACAGCCTCCCCCTTATTTCATTGTTTCAGATCCACAGAACCGAAGAGGCAGGACCACAGAGTGGTTTCGAGTCAGGCAGATCCCGATTCCTGGCTCAACCGGTAGCTTCTGTGGGACGCTGGGCGAGTGAGTACCCTCTCTGAGCTTTGGCTTCTCTGTCTGCAAAGGGAGGATGTGATAAGGAATTAATGAGAAACCGTCCAGGCAGCATTTAGCCTAACACTTGTAAGTACTGCTGGTCTCATCGTCGTCATCCGTGTGGCCCAAAGCCTGAAAAAATGCTGATCTGACCAAACCACCTGGCGAGGTTCTCTCTCACTCTCTAGAGACAGATGGCGCGTTCAAGAGACACCCCGGGGCCTCTTGTTGAAGCCACTGCCCAACCTGCCTGGCCTGGCCAGCAGAGCTGGCCAGAGAGGGAAAGTGGTTTGTGAGCTGAAAGGTGAGGTTCCTTCTTCCCCCTCTCGCCCCCAGGCCCGCTCCGCCATCACACCAGTGTGGGAAGGCACTGGATTTGACCAGGCTGTGAACTACAGCAGCCTGGCTTGATGAGGCCAAGGCCCAGTCCAGCACAAAGGCTCTTTGCTCTTACGTGAACCCAGACATTCCTGGCAGGTTTAGTGGCATTCAGCTAATGTGCCGAGCTGTGATCTCTGCTTCCTCATCAAAGCCGGAGGAGGAGAGCACACTTGGAGGGGTGTCGGAAGGGCATTCGAGTTGGATCCAAGGGACACCAAAGAGCTTCATGCGGTTTGACCCAAGCAGAGGTGCGTGTCCCCCTCATGCACGTCTGCCACCAGCCCGGCTCACAGGACAGTGAGGCCCTGACCTGGAATCCCTGCTTGTCACTTCCTGGCCAGGGCATGTCGTCACATCTGTCTTCCTCACAGTGATTCCCAGCGCTCCGCCAGCACTGGGTCTGCTCACAGCAAGCACTCGGAAAGTACCTCGCGGCTGGGTGTGCGGATGGACGGATGGACAGATGGATGGACGGACTAATGACAGGCTCATCCTCTGTAAAGTCAGTGCGGAGAAGCCTTCCCGCTGGACTGTTGGGAGGGGTGGAAATCACCTGTGTGAAGCCCGTGGCACGGTGGACGTTGCTTTAAACATTTTTCCGAGACTCCTGCCTACTCCTCTACGCCCAGCACCCTCACCCCCAAATGTGGTCCCATGTTATGGTCTCAGCATCTCAGAGGACAGATGGGGACCTCAGGGGACACTTTTCTACTGCAGCCACAAGCTGATGGAAGGGACAGGTGCTGTGCTGGGGCTCCAGAAACATGGGTGAGAAGGGTGGGGCTCGCCTTGTCTCCCCGGCACACCGGCTCCCACTCCTGCGTTCGCAGACCTCCACGGCACTAACGTTGTGCCCCAGCTGCGGATGAAGAGAAGGGTGAGCCCGGCCCCTGACCTTGAGGAGCTGACTCGGGAACAGAATTGCAGGAGGTTAAATGACATCGATGAAGTGCTGCAACACGCAGCCCAAGGGGAAGCAGACTCCATCTAGGGGGGGAAGCTCCGGCTGGGAATTCCAGTAAGGCTTTCTAGGGCGCCAAGTGAGCCGAGTCTTCAGACCAAAGAGCCAAAGAACAATCAGTGCACCAGGCGAAGACCACAGGGAGGTCTGTAGGGCATGCAGGGGAGGAGGAGGCTGCAGAGGTGGACAGGGCCAGGGAAAGTGGTTTTTGAGCTGGAAGGTGAGGTTCAGCACAGTGTCTTCCCTGCATAGAGCTTGGACGTGGCCCTGCCTCCCTGCAGCCTGCACCCCTGCCCACCCAGCATATTCCACAAGCTCCCCAGAGTGGAGCCTGAGGCCAGGATACCTGTCCACTCCTGCAGCCCTCCTCACCTGCCCAGGAGAGCCGTCCAGTGCTAGAAGTGAGTGCATCCCCCTAACTTTTAAACAGTTGAGTAAACTAACTGTTCTGTAAATGTCTGAACATTATTGTTCCTAACACTTAATGGGTTTACTCACCACACAACCAACTCCCTCGACATCGCTATTCGGAGCCATGGACGTGCAGGCGTGAAGCAGGAGAGTGACTGAGTTGGGTCTGTGATTCACAGCAGGATTCCAGTGGCTGTGCGGAGTGGCCCTTCTGCACTGTGTTTTATGTCCCAGGGGATGTGGCAGGAGCCAGGCGGCCTTGTTTCCATGAGTCACATCTTCCTGCCCTCTCTCCTGAGTCCAGAGGAAAACACTCCACCTAAGCCGATGCTCTCTCTGGTCCAGGAAGGGCCAAGTCCCTTACCATCCAGGTAGGCAGCCTGGGCAAGGAGAGGAGCCCAGTGACCCGCCACCTCCCTGTCCCTGTGTGCGACCCTGGCCAAGTGGCTTCCCCTCTCTGAGCCTCGGTCTGCACTTCAGTATGAGGACAAATCTCCTAGCCTGCCTAACGTCCAGGGATGGCACGAGGAGTGAAGGGGTCTAGGCGGGCACGAGCCAGGGAGCTCTGCGGTGCTGGGAGCCAGCCCTCGTTCTACTTGTAAAAGACTAGCACATTCCTGGGGACAACTGGCTTAACACCTGTGATGGTAGAACACAGCATAGCCCGCTCTCCCAGTCCCTCCCCACCCTCCAGTGTGGCTCCCATTCACTCTTCAGACATGGTGCCCTTTTGTGAAATGAAACTCAGAAGGAATTGCATCGGAAAGCAGAGAAAGGAGCCTGCTCTGTGGGGGCGGGGGGGGGTTAGAGAGGAGACTGCCCCCCACTTGGGCACCCCTACACTTCCTGCCCCACCCTCTCGCGAACTTCACCGCTGCCCCCGGGGATCCTTGGAGCCTGCCCAGCACACTGTGCAGGCCCGAGCAGCGGCTGTGGGGGGCCAGATGTGCCTGGTCCGGCTCCCCTCTCCCAAGCCCGCGCCGCTCACGGGCCCTGGTCGGTGTATAATTCATGGCAGCCGCGCGGACTTTCTCGGGGCTGCGCAGTGTTTGTGTATAGAGGTAGAGCTCACAGGTGGCTGACAAGGGAGATGTATTTTTTATAACAATGAATATTTAATTTCCACATCACAGATGAAAAAGACTCTCTGAAGAGGCGTGTGAGAGAGACTCCAGAGAGCAGCCGCTAATCAGAAGAGGGCCTTCTAGCCAGAGCCCCTCCATGTGGCTCACTTTCTTCTTTAACTTTCTATTTTTATGTTTTCCTGATTATTGAAGTCGATATGCACATTGTAGAAAGTGTAGAAAACACAGAAAAATAAGAAGAGGCAGAGTGGGGGTAAGTCACCCCTAAGCCCCCTAGCTTTTGTCGACGTGTATGTACATCCCTTTCCAGTCTTTTTTCTCTGCCTCTTCCCATAAGTAGGTGAGAGAGAATGTAGTATAATTACAGTTCTGCATCATGGTGTTGAGACTTTTCTCTTTCATAAACATTATAGTTAATGGGTGGCTCCTTTTCAGCCAAGTGTACTGTAATTCACCAGCCTCCTCTTGCTGGAAATGTAGGATGTGCCGTGTTTTAATATTATAAACACAGCAGCGAGGAACATCTTTGTGCATCATTGTTTGCTACATTTGGGGTTATCTAAATGGAAGTGGAGGGTACGAGGTCGTAGGCGACTGGATCTCATGTTTAAGGCTCTCAACACCTACGGCAAACCCTCGGTTGCTTTCCTGTCTGCGACCAGCTTCCTCGCCTCGGGGCCCGTCCCGCCTCCCAGGCCCTCCGGCCTCCTCCAGGGAGCCTCTACCTCAGGTTGGCAGAGGGAGGCCAGGGCCAGGCGCTGAGCCCAGAGGCCCCCCTCCCACCCCGCCACGTGGAGTTCCGAGGGTGCCTCCTAACTGCCTCTTTTCTCTTGTCTTCCTCCGCCCCAGCCTGGTAAAGCCCTTGCGACACTATGCGGTCTTCCTGTCCGAGGACTCCTCTGACGATGAATGCCAGCGGCAAGAGGGCCCCAGCTCTGGCTTCACCGAAAGCTTTTTCTTCTCCGCCCCCTTTGAATGGTCTCTCCTTCCTCCTTCCATTTCTCTGAGCTCAGCTTGGTGACTCTCCCGGGCCGCGTGGGGGAGGGGGGCCGGTGCCGCTTGCCCTTGCGTGTGGGGAGGGCTGTCTGCAGCTGCTGCCTGCCGGTGACCCCACGCCAGCTCGGGGGTGAGTGCCCCCTTGTGTGCCTCTGCCCAGCCCCGCGGGCTCTGGGGCGAGGGCCAAGGGGCGAGGGGCGAGGGTACGGGATGGCAGGGCCTACAGGTGTGAGACCGGAGCCTGAGTCCCTGGCCCTTACCCTGGAGAGTGCACTTGACTGTCAACCGAAGTGGTTGTTGATGCCCGAGTCCTCCTCTTATCTCAGCACATCTCCAAAAGCTATGAAGGTGGAGGGTCAGTTTTTAAGCTTAAGACAAAAACAAAAACAAACGTATTGATAGGGAACGTGTATATTATTGCTGACAGATCCAAGTGTTTTACCGATCTGCCTGACCGTAAGATAATTTTTATTATTATTGCTTATAGTCTGAGCCTCACACTAATTAAAAAGGTTCGCCCACAATCCAGCCACGCCCCGGTGTTAAGCTTTGGCCGTTTCCCTTCCTCCACCAGTTCTTGCCCCTCTACCCACAAGTTTTTCAGGGCTGGGATTGAGCAAAGGGACAGCTTTTGTCCATGGTCGTTAACAAAGCAGTAGTGTCCTTAATGGGAGCCTTTGAGGGAAGAGAGCTGCCCTTTGCTGAACACCCACGGGGCCCACAACCACTATCTTTCAGAAGAGGGGACTCTTCCCCTCCATCCCCCTCCCAGTTCCCTTCCCTTGGGCCGGGCCTCTCAGTTCCTCAGGGCACCTGATAAACTCCCCAGCTCTGCTCCTACCATTGGCCCCCAGGGGTAGGAGGGTTCTTAGCCCTTTCTGCCACCAGCTCACCTGCAAGTCAGCCCCCTCCTGATCTCCTCACTTAGAAAGCGGTGGGTGGCCTAAGTCGGTGTTGCCCAAATTCCCATGCCACCTTCTGTGTACATTGAATCTTTCTTTAAAATTTTTCTGTTAAAACTTTGTCCTAAGCAGTAATATTTCTGATATCATTGACCTAATGCATCAATTATCATTTCTACTATTAGTTAAAATAAAGATAGAACCATTGGAATAAGAAATGTTCATGTATCAACTCAAAATCACCTTGCAGGTAAAAACGCTCTGCCTGGGTGACATCCAAGAAGGAATCCCCACCACAGGGTCCAGTGGGCCTCCTCACTCTTTTTTAATTCATTGATGCCTTAATTATTTAAATAGTAAATAGTGCTCACGCCCTTAGCCAGGACCTATGAAAAGTATAGGCTTTTGTATGTGTATGATTAAAAAGGAAGTGGCCCATATGTTAACTATACTGGTGTTAAATAAACATAAATTACACAGGAAAAGAAAAAAAAAGGAACTGGGCCATCTTAAGTCAAAATAAAATGGTTTCTTTTTAAAGAATACATTTCCTTCCTTAAGTGTAAGGAGCACACTGACTTTTCTTTATCCCCTTCATTGTGTTCAAACTTGGTGAAAAGGTCTTTAATTCCTTGGTCAGAAGGCTTAGAGTGAGTGGGGACTTTTGAACAGGTCTCTCATACTTGGTGTCCATGGCTACCTTTTGCTGTGTGACATAGGGTGAGTGACTTAGCCTCTCTGAACTTGAGCCAGATAACTGAAGGCTGATGGGAATCCTTGCGGAGAGTCCCCTCTGCGGGGTGTGCCCTGCCCTGGTTCCTGCACGTGGGCCTTTGGGACCAGCAGGTGGCGCCCTTCCCCCACATTACCAGAGCTGTGAGCCGCTTCTGCTGGGACACACGGGGCAGAGCCAACCCCAGCCTTCACTAGTCAGGGTTGATCCAGGCAGCCTTCTCCACGTACCCAGTGGTGCCCTGGGGCTCAGGCCTCTGAGAAAGGAAAGTAAGAGGAGCCTCTTGTCCCCTGTGCCTGGGTCAAAGGTACAGAATGCTGTTAACGGCCTCTGTACGTGCCGTGCGTCAGGGAGCATGTTGGTTGGTTCACATAATCACCACCGCTGCCTGCAAAGAGAGGTGCACTCTGGAATGGGGGAGAGGCTGAGGTTCAGAGAGGTTAAGAGACTATCCCAAGGTCCCATGGCAAGAGATGGTAAGACCAGAGCTAGAACAGGTCAGCGCAGGCCGAAGCCCACACGGCTCCCCCTGGGGCTCCTGAGCCACCCTGGGAGACTTTCCCCAGCTCAGTTCCCTATGAGCCACAGGATGGTGGGAGTGCAGAGGCCGGGCTCCCGAACGAGCAGGCTGCCTCTTCCCTTTCCAGTCGTGTCCCGTTCCTCATGCCTTGTCTGGATGGCCTGCAAGCCCCCTAGCCAGTTATATGGTGGGTCCTGTGGTTTTCGGGGGAACTAAGTGCAAATGAGTCCCAGAGTGAGCAATAGAACCCAAATGCAGCCCCGGGTCTGGCAGAGTGCCACTGCCCAGACTCCAGCACTCACAGGGACCCCAGGACACTCTCCTGTCCCCAAGCCTCCTGGGTGTACTCCTCAAGGCCTGGAAGTTCCTGGGGGTGGGGGCTGCTTGCACCTCCTGTGGAGGCTCTGGGTGGGAGAATCAGTCTGCTCTGCCTCCTCCCAGGCCTCAGCCGTATCGGACGCTCAAGGAATCAGACAGCGCAGAAGGCGACGAGGCAGGGAGTCCAGAGCGGCGAGCGCGGGAGCCCACGGGCCCTGCCCCGGCTCCGCCTGACCGGGCTGCCAGCATTGACCTTCTGGAAGACGTCTTCAGCAACCTGGACATGGAGGTTCCACTGCAGCCACTGGGCCAGGCCAAGAGCTTGGAGGACCTTCGGACACCCAAAGACCTGAGGGAGCAACCGGGAACCTTCGACTATCAGGTATGATGCCAGCAGGGATGGGTACCTGCCAGGGCTGGTGCTTTCCACACGTGAGGCAGGTGCCCCCATGGGACGGGGAAGGAGACCGAGGGAGAAACAGCAACCTTTCCAGGGTCCTTGGCCGAGGCTCAGTGTCGTTCTGCCTGCAAACCCTGCCAGGCAGGCCCACAGCCCGTGATCCTGTAGAAACGTTACAGCTGATGGAAATTGGCCCCTCGTGTCCGTGTGTGCGTCAGGCAGAATTCTGCTGCCACTCCAGTTCACCCTCCCAGGACCCCAGCCCCACCAAGTCTGCTCGGAGAGCCTCGGGATCAAAATTCCTGGGTTCTGATTATTTGCATGGGACCACTGATCGTCCATCATGACTTGCGATCTGTCACATTCCCTCTCTCTGCCCGTTTCTCCACTTGCAAGTGGAGGCTGCTGACAGAGTGGCTGGGTCTGTGGATTCACGTGCATCCTCCCTGCCCCTGACGCCCAGGTCGCGTCACTTGCGAGTGGCAGAGCAGGACAGGAGCCCAGTCCTGTTTCCCTGCCAACCAGGGAAGACACCTTTGCCAGGCCCCGTGCCTCACTCGTCCTCGAGCTCCCAGGTGATTAAAAGTGCCCACATGCTTTGAAAAGTGAAAAAGGCCCGGCCAGTAGATCGTCAATAAATGGAGTCATTTTCCTAAAACTTCTTGGCAACACTGACGTAAAAGGACAAGGGCTTTTTCTGGAATCGCTCTGTGCAATGAGAAAAAAGCCCGGCGTGGAGTCTGAAAAGTGAGGAAAACAGTGAGGAAAGCCTGGGCTTGGCGTCTGGACAGACCCGGGCTCTTCTGCTGGTGACCTGGGCCCAGCCCCCCAGCTGCCCTGAGTCCCAGGGGACTGATCAGCCACACGCCTGGGATCCAGCAACGGGAGGGGCCCCAGGGATGGAGACCTGCTGCCTTCCAGTCTGTCCGGGGCAGTCTCTGGTCACTGCCTCCCTCGTTCTCTCCCCCAGAGGCTGGACCTGAGCAGGAGTGACAGGAGCCGCGGAATGCCGGTGGCCTTGAAGCTCACCCACCCCTACAACAAGCTCTGGAGCCTGGGCCAGGACGACATGGCCATCCCCAGCAAGCCCCCGGCCACCTCCCCCGAGAAGCCCTCAGCCCTGCTTGGGAACTCCCTGGCTGTGCCCCGCATGCTGCCAACCCAGGACAGCATCCTGAACCCCAGTGACAAGGAGGAGGCGCCCACCCCCACTCCAGGCAGCATCACCATTCCCCGGCCCCAGGGCAGGAAGACCCCAGAGCTGGGCATCGTGCCTCCGCCCCCCACCGCCCGCCCAGCCAAACTCCAGGCCGCCGGCGCCGCACTCGGGGACTTCTCAGAGCGGCTACAGGCCCTGAGCCCGGCCCCGTTCCCCGGGCTCCTCCCCAGTGCTACCCCCCAAGGACCCACCGAACCGCTCCAGCCACTCAGCCTGGCCCCCGGGGCCGCAAGCTCGAGCAGTGATGCCCTGCTGGCCCTCCTGGACCCACTTAACACAGCCTGGTCAGGCAATGCTCTTCCACCGGGCCCTTCAGCCCCAAGCGTAGCCACCTCCTTCACTCCCCAGTTCAGCTTCCCCCCAGCAGGGACCCCTACCCCCTTCCCGCAGCCATCACTCAATCCCTTCGTCTCATCTATGCCCGCGGCACTGCCTGCCATGGCCCTGGTCTCCACACCGGCCGGGCCTTTCGGGGCCCCTCCTGCTTCCCTGGGGCCAGCCTTTGCCCCCGGCCTCCTGCTGTCCGGTTCCAGCCTCTGTGGCCCACATAGATCTCAGCCCAACCTGTCTGCCCTCTCCATGCCTAACCTCTTCGGCCAGATGCCCATGGGTGCCCACACCAGTCCCTTGCAGCCCCTGGGCCCCCCAGCGGTCACCCCTTCAAGGATCCGAACGTTGCCCCTGGCCCGCTCAAGCGCCAGGGCTGCCGAGGCCAAGCAGGGGCTGCCCCTGAGGCCCGGAGACCCCCCTCTCCTTCCTCCCAGACCCCCGCAGGGCCTGGAGCCAGCACTGCAGCCCTCTGCTCCTCGAGAGACCAGAGACCCCTTTGAGGATTTATTACGGAAAACCAAGCAAGATGTGAGCCCGGCCCCGGCCCCAGGCTCAGTAGAGCAGCTCAGGAAGCGGTGGGAGACCTTCGAGTGAGCCAGGCGCCAAGCGAGGGCGAGCCAGGCCCAGCCATGCGCCGCCAGCCACTGCGCCCCAGGCCAGCAGGCCCTGCTTCCCCTGCTCCGTTTCTGCCCAGGTTCTGCTGGTGGGAAGGGATGGGACCCCCATCTGCCGCCCCTCCTCCCCGACACACCACCCATCTCTGAGGTCTGGCTGCTAAGAATGGTGCCAGTTCTGGCCTGGGAACGGTCCCAGCCCCTGGGCACCCACCCCACCCTGCCACCACCCCTTCCCTGCACCCCTGAGTAGGTTTTGCACTAAAGAGGTCAGCTGGGCGAATGACTGCCCCAGACCCAGCCCCACCTGCCTTCCCCCGGAAGCCTCCCACCAGGAGCCCCGAGGCTCCACAAGGCCTCTCCTCCCCAGCCCTGTTCTCTCGGCCCAACTGCAGCGTGGCCCTGCGCACCCCACTGGGACCAGCACAGACGGCCGTGGTAGCCTCGGCATGAGGGTGTCTGCACCAGACACCTGCGGTTTGGAGTTTGGAGTAAGGAGAATCTACCTACCTGGCGGGGCATTTCCAAACCCTCTCTAGCAATACACACACTCGTTCTTTGTCAGTCTTCACCCCAACCCTCAACGTTCAGTTGTTTCTGGCTTGGTAGGGATTTGGGGCCGAGGGATTCTTGGGAACCCTCTGATAGCCAAACACAGCCCCAGCCGGCCCTGCATGGCTGGGAGCACCAGCAACTCTGATTTGTAAGAGAAAACATAGCAGCAGGTAAATCGAGTGCATTAGGAGGAGTCAGGCCGCCGTCCTGTGTTCTCCCTCTGGTTGCTGGGTTTCTCCAGGTCTCCAGTGTTACTCAGATGGGGCTCAGCCTCTTGTCGCCTGGGACTGCAGGGGCAGAGCTGAGAAGCAGGCACCCAGATTCCAACTGGGAAGACCAGCTTCATGCCACCGGCTGATGCAGGAGGCCCAGCTGCCCAGGCTCCCTGGGTCAGGAGTGGGCAGGGGCACTGAGCCCTTCTCTAGGCCCTGGCGGAGTGGACAAACTTGGCTTCTCGCAGCTTGGAGGCAGGAGAAGGGCCAGGAGCCACCCCCTCCCCCGCCCACGTAGCATAGAAATTCCTGAGGCCAACGTCACCAAAGCTCAGTTGAAATGTTTTGTTATTGTTTCTTTTATCTATCTTTTCCTTTTTACTTTATTGATTTGATGAATCTTAAAATTGACTAGTTTCAATAAACCGAGTTAAAATATGGCCCAACCATTTAAGAAAACAACCATCTGAGACATGCAGGAAATTGTGAGCGTTTTGACCTGATTTCTCATTTCCTATTTGTGAGTGGTCAGACACACAGCCTCAGAGGTGTCTGACTGGGCAAGGGGGCTCCAGAGGCCCCTCTAGCCCCAGGGAGCTTTGTCCCCGTCTGAGGGACCCTGTGTGGGTCGGTGAGGCCTGGAGGGCGGGCCCTGAGGTTCTCAGACGTGGGATGTGACAAGCTGCTGGCCCAGCACAGTGCCCCTTCCCGAGTCGGTCACGGCCCCCTGGGCAAGTGGCTCTCAATCTCGGAGTGCTGTCTGGCTGCTGAGGTGGAGGGGGGGCCATGGGATATCTGGGCACGTGGGCACCCCCAGGCCTTTCGGGTGTTTCCATACAGGTTCCAGATCCACCACCCATCCTGGGCAGACCCCTGAGCCCTGTCCGCAAAGGGAAGCCTCCCCTCCCCACCCCACCCCTGTAGGCAGGGTATAAGAGGTACGGTGGGGCCCCAGGGAAGCAGAGGCCACCCCGTGGTCTGTCTCCCCGGCTGTGCTGGGGGCTGGTGGTGAGCCTTCCACGTTCCCAGGAGCACTGTTGTCTCTTCACTTGCTGGACTGAATTTGCACCCAAGGATGAATGTTGTGTGTGCGTTCAATAAAATCTTCTTGGGGAGAAGGTTGGTATCCCTGTGTCCTGAGGAAGCCCTGGGGGACGGGGAGGGCTCAGAGCAGTAAGGGAAGGATTTGACCCCTAACCCACACCCCACCTTCTTCCATTTGAGCCTCTGAGCCCAGGCCCTTCCCTGTCCCAAGTCGGGGAGGGGGGGGCGGTGGCGGTGGAGCTGGTCACAAGCATGCATAGGCTTGGCCAGTCCATGGAGTGAGGCTGCCGGTCACAGATGGTGTTGAGAGTGCCCAAACTCCAGGGAACAGTTCAAGAGAACAGCAGAAAATTCAGCCCCATAGATCTCTCATTAGCAAGGGCAGAGCCTTAGAACCAGCAGCTCTGTTGGGTGTTTGTGTTAGGAGATCTGGACCAAGCACCCAGAGGTGGTGTTAAACACACCCAGTCCCCCATCATCTGGTCATGCCCCCCTCCCCTGGCTGCCCTTGAAAAGGACAGGTGCCAGAGCCCTTAGAAGCGAGAGAGGACAACACAGGGCTCCCCAATAAAGTGGCACTGCTTTTATTTATTGGGGTTTCATGTGTCTTAGAGGAGTCTGCAAGAACACAGGTTCACCAAATCCCTGATTTAATAAAATCACCAAGGCACCAGCTGTGGCTAAGTTGCTGGTACCAGATGTTTCCTCCCCCACCTTCCCAGGAGTCACGATGGAGAAAGTTGGGGGAAAGGTACCACCTTCTACAGGATAAGGACGAAGCAAGCCCCTTACCCTAGTGTTCAGGGCACTTCCTGTCCCAGCCTCGGCTGAACGCCTCAGTCTCGGCCACCCACATGCTCCCTCACCACCCCCATCACCACGTGGTTCTACTTCAGATTTTGAGGCCTCTGCCTCTGGAAGCTGGTGAGACCCTGAGGGGATCTGGGTAAGGTTAACTAAAAGTGGAAAGGGGTCTCCTGGCCTTGGCACGGGAGGCACTGGCCTGAGAAACAGGAAGGACGGAAGGGCATGTCTTGAGATCAGGGAGGAAGGGATTTCATGAGACTAGGAGGAGGCCCGGCACTGGGGCGGGGGGGGGGGGGGATGCCCCTCTGGGATCAGTGTGATGGCATTGCCAGGGAAGGGACTGGAAGCAAAGCACATTCCTCCTCTGCATCCATGTCTGTCTGCAGGACCAGCCCCGACAAAGAGGCAGTGCCAACATTTGCTGAGCTCAGCAAACAACTCTGAGGGCTTCCTGCGAGTCCTGAATCCCACCCCCCACCCCAACACATACACAGCCATTTAGAGAGGTGACGGGCGCTGGAGAATGAGGTGGTCAGCACAGGGCTGGGGCGGGGGGGCAGGTGGTTTGCTCCTTCATCCTCTGGCCTTCTTGCCCCTCCCCAGGAAAGCCCCTTCCCCCACTTTCTCTCAGCTCCAGGCTGACAACCCTTCCTGAAACCTAAAAGGGTGACCAGAGAGCCCAGCGGCACTGAGGCCCAGAGCTCTTTCCCCATTGCCGTCGCTGATCCTCACAGCTGCCCCGTGAGGTAGGCAGAGGCTGCCACCCCCCCCCCCCCCCCCCCGGCAAGGGGCGACAGCTCCGGGCAGCCGGTCCTCCGCTCCTGCAGATCTGCCCTGGACGCGCTCTGTGTTCCCGCGCGTCCCGTCTCTGGGGCCGCAGGCTCGTGACCCCCCCTCCATTTCCCAGCTGCCTCCAGCATGGGGGCAGCCTCCAGAGCTGCAGAAGATGCCGGAGCTGGGGGGCTGGGAAGGGGATCCCCCCAGCCCAGCCGCCCCTCCGTGGGATCGCGTGCACCCACGGCAGAGACACGGACATGCCCACGAGCCCCGTCCCCCAGGGACACCGTGTGTGCCCGCGGGTGCTTCTCCCCTGCACGGCGGTGTGCTTGCCGAGACAAGAGCCGGCAGGGCCAGTGGTGCAGGGCACGGCCTCACCGGCCCCCCGCCCCGGCTTCCCTGAGTGCTCCCCTCTCCTGTCCACAATGGGACAGGCGGGGGCCGCCAGCTAAGGCGACGCTTCACCGGCAGACATCCTGGGCCCCGCGGCTGCGGGAGAAGGCCAGCCACGGGGCGCGGCCTCCTGGGGTCCTCGGGTAGAAATCATCTGGGACCTCATGGGTGCTGGAGCCGGCAGGCGGGCAGGCCTAGATGAGTCTCTCCTCTGGTGGCACCTTGAGGACACTGTCCATCTCCAGCCGGGCTCCGGCCACCTCCTGCTGGCTGGGGCTGTAGGTGCCCTCGGACTGGCGGCGCTTCCTGGCTGCCAGGACCCCTGACAGGAGGCCCAGGAGGAGGAGGAGGAGACAGGCGCAGGCCGCGGGCACGGCCACCTCCAGCAGCGGGAAGGGCAGGGACAGCGGCAGGCCCTTCTGCGAGAGATGCGG